CTACACATTTATTAATCACATATATTAACTGATTCAACCCTTCCAACAATCCCATAGTTATGTACTACTGTCATACTCATTCAACAGTGAAGAGGTCTGAGCTGAAGACAGCTAAGCAAAGTCTCCGCCATCACACAACTGTTCCGTGGTACAGATAAGAGTTGAACCCGCAGTCTGGAGCTAATTTGACTTCTTAACCTCTATACTATACTGCTTGTTAAAAGTATTACCAAGTGTAGCCCTGGCCAGTTTGGTTCAGCAGTTGGAGCGTTGGCCTGCGGTCCAGAGAGATCTGGGTTCGGTTCCCGCTAAGGGCGCGTGACTTGGTTGCAGTTTGTGCCCGGCCCTGGTTGGCTGTGTGGGTGGCAGCCACTCAATGTGTCCCTCTGACGTCAATGTTTCTCTCTCTCTCTCCCTCCCACTCTATCTGAACAAAAAATGGAAAAATGTCCTCGGGTGAGGATAACAACAACAACAACAACAAAAAGTATTACTAAGTGCTTTTCTTATTCTATTTTTTGTTTCCTGTGATGAGAACTAAACGCTCATGCAGGTTGTATTTTCTTTTTTTTTTTGGTAAGTGCCCCTAGCAGGAACCAAACCCAGGACTCTCTGGTCCGCAGGCCGATGCTCCAACTGCTGAGCCAAACCGACCAGGGCTGCATGTTGTGTTTTCAAAAGCCATCACAATTAGTGATAGATTAGATAAAATCAGGTTCCTTTTCAATTTAGAGATTAAGATATGGATGGTATAACTTTAAGGGTTAACTATTACCAAATGTCTCAAGAATATATGTGAAGAAACATTGTTTTATTAATGTTTATAATACACCTTAAAACAAAAGCACACAATAAGAAAAATGGGCAAAAAAGTTTGGCATTATCTATTAATGCTGAATGTATATACAGCTTATGATCCAGCTATTCTACTCTTTGGCATCCACCCAAAAGAACTACATATGCACGCACATACGCATGTGTGTATGTGCATTTGTCCACGCGCTAGAATGTTCACAGCAGCCTTATGTGTAGTAACCTTACCCTGAAAGCTACCCAAATGTCCATGCTCATCAACAGCTGACCAGGTATATAAACGATGCTATAGACCACAACTAAATACTGAATAATGAGAACGAAAGACCCACATCTGTATACAGCATGAACAAATTTTAGTAATAAGATGTTAATGAAAGAAGCCACAAACACGAATATATGTCCTGTATGACTCCATTTATATGAAGTATAAAACCAGGCAAAATTGGTGCTACTGGAGTGGCTTCGTGCAACGGAATGTGAGGCTATAGGAAGGTGCTAACGTTCCACCTCTTACCTGGGTGATGGTCACTCAAGAGCACTCAGTTTGTGAAAATTCATCAAGTGTACACTTATGATACATATACTTTACTGCCTATATGTTATTCTACAAAAAGTTAAATGAAAGTTGTTAATTTTAAACATCTGGTCTATAATTTTTAATGAATTTATAATGAAGAGAAATAATTACATTATCATCATCAGCTAATATCTGAGTGCTAACCATGTAGCAGGTAATATAATAAAAGCTTTACATAGAGGGACTTCCGGTCAGGATGGCGGGTAGGTAAACGCGGTATCGCGTCCTCCCACAACCACATCAAAGTTACAACTAAACTACAGAACAACCGTCATTCAAAACCGCCTGCAATCAAGCTGAATGGAAGTCCTACAACTACGTAATTAAAGCAGCAGCTACATCCAGACTGGTAGGAGGGGCGGAGGGAGACAGGCTGGTCCCACATCCACGTGTGGTAGATACAAATCAGGGGGACACCTCCACTGGGAAGGTCCTTCCTGAGGACTGAGGGGTCCCCGTCCACACCAGGCACCCAGCTCAGGGTTCCAGTGCCAGGAAGAGAATCCCCATAACTTCTGGCTAGAAAAACCAGTGGGAACTGAGGCTCAGGGAGGCTAAGGCGGCTGGAGCCTCAGGCATCTCCTTAAAGGGCCCGCCCACGGACTTACCGAACTCACTTCCTCTAAGCTTGGAGGGGAGGCAGCTCGAGGAGCCCCAGAGACATACAGGGAAGAACTGAGCTGTTTGGCACTGGAGCAAGAGCTGGAGAGGGGGCTTTCTCTGGGACAGACATGCTGTCAGAGGCCTTTGTTCCTTTGGTGAGCCCTTCCCTGGGGTGGCAGACAGTCGCCATATCTGGGACTCCAGCAATCTGGCTCACACTGGTAGCCCCGCCCTGGTGACTTCCTAAGGCCCCGCCCCGCCCCACCCAACTTTCAGGCCCACCCAAACTGTTGCCAGTGGCTTAACCACAGGATTGGTCTGTCTTGGATCCTGTTTCAGGTTTTTCCTAAATTCTTTCAAACAAGCAGCATCTGGTCTCAGCTAGCCCCATACCTCTCGTTAAGTAACATAGAAACAAACACAGGGAGGGGACCAAAATGAGGAGACAAAGAAACATGTTCCAAACGCATGAACAGAACAAAACCCCAGGAAAAGAACTAAGTGAAATGGAGATAAGCAACCTAACAGATGCTGAGTTCAAAATACTGCTTATAAGGATGCTCAATTAACTTAGTGAGAACCTCAGGGAACTTAGTGAGGGCCTCAAGAGCCTAAAAAAAGGACCAGTCAGCCCTGGCTGGTTTGGTTCAGCGGTTGGAGCATTGGCTTGCAGTCCAGAGAGACCCGGGTTCGGTTCTTGCTAGGGGCGCATACCTTGGTTCCAGTTTGTCCTGGGCCCTGGTTGGTCGTGTGGGTGGCAGCCACTCGATGTGTCCCTTTCACGTCGATGTTTCTCTCTTCTCTCTCTCTTCCTCTCTCTCCCTCTCATTCTATCTGAAGAAAAAATGAAAAAAATGTCCTCAGGTGAGGATACAAAAAAAAAAAAGGACCAGTCAGAAATGAAGGAGGCACTAACTGAAATAAAAAATAATTTACACAGATTCAATAGTAGAGTACGTAAATCCAAGAAGCAAACCATCAATTTGGAATATAAGGAAGCAAAAAAACACCCAATCAGAACAGCAAAAAGAAAAGGAATCCAAAAAAATGAGGAGAGCGAAAGGAGCCTCTGGGACAACTTCAAACGTGCCAACATTCGCATTTTGGGGGTGACAGAAGAAGAGAGAGAACAAGAAATCGAAAACCTATTTGAAACAATAATGGCAGAAAACTTCCCTAACTTGGGGAAGGAAACAGACATACAGGTCCAGGAAGCACAGAGAGTCCCAAACAAAATGATCCCCAAGAGGCCCACATCAAGACACATCATCATCAAAATGCAAAAGGTTCAAGACAAAGAGATAATCTTAAAAGCAGCAAGAGAAAAGCAGTTAGTTACGTACAAGAGACTGTCAGCTGATTTCTCAAAAGATACTTTGCAGGCCAGAAGGGAGTGGCAAGAAATATTCAGAGTGATGAAAAGCAAGAACCTACAACCAAGATTACTCTATCCTGCAAAGCTGTCATTTAGAATCAATGGTCATATAAAGAGTTTCCCAGACAAGAAAAAGTTAAAGGAGATCGTCACCACCAAATCGTTATTATATGAAATGTTGAAGGGTCTTTTTGAAGAAAAAGATAAAATATATGAACAAACAAAATGGCAATGAATACACATCTACCGACAATGGAATCTAGAAACAAAATGAACAGGCAGAACAGAAACATTCTCATAGATACAGAGAACATTTTGTTGGTTGCCAGATGGGAGGGGGGTTGGGGGAATGGGTGAAAAAGGTGAAGGGATTAAGAAGAACAAATTGGTTGCTAGACTGACAAACCTCAAAGGGAAGGGGGGCTTGGGGGGTGGGAAGAAATAAACCAAAGAACTTATATGCATATATGCATAACCAATGGACACAGACAACAGTGTGGGAAAAGGCAGGAGGGGGGTCGGGAGTGGGGAGGAGGGGGGTCAATGGGGAAAAAATTAGGAACATCTGTAATACATTCAACAATAAAGATTTAAAAAATGAATTAAAATAATTTAAAAAAAAAAACTTTATGTAAGTGAATCTCACTTAATTCTCACAAAAACATCCTACAGAGACAGGCACTATAATTAACTTCATTTTCCACTGAGAAACTAAGGCTCAGATTCATTAAGTAATGTGTTATAGCAGAAAAACCAAAGTCAGACGATCCTAACTCTAAGGACTCTATTCTTAAACATCTAGCTATACTAAATTCTAGGTAAAGGCAAATTCAGGCGATGTCAAGGCAAGAGAGACACACTGGTCTTGAAACTTACTCCATGAAAACACTCACTCACATTATTTTCCAGGTAGAACCTTCAACTAGAAGAAACACTAACCAGGTGAAGGTGTAGCAAGCAACAGCCTAAACAGTGTATCCCAGTATCAAATCACTGTCTTTAGATGCAGCATATTCATTTAGGCCTGAGAAAATATAAATGTTAAAAGGGTTCTAAAAATTGCCCTGGCTGGTTTGGCTCAGTGGTTAGACTATTGGCCCTCAGACGGAAGGGTCATGGGTGTAATTCCTGGTCAAGGGCATGTACCTGGGTTTCAGGTTCTATCCCTGGCCCAGGTCAGTGTCATGCAGGAGGAAACCAATCAATGTGTCTCTCTCATATCAATGCTTCTCTCCCTCCCTCCATCCCTTCCGCTCTCTCTAAAAATCAACAGAAAAATATCCTCGGGTGAGGATTAACCAAAAAAAAAAAAAAAAAAATTTCTAAAAATAAACCCTACTTTTCTAACTTCATTATATCCTCTAATATAAAGTGTGTCTTTAAGAAAATATAACATGGCAGAAGAATGTTAGTACAGCTAAACTTTAACACATCATTAATCGTTAATTGTGCTGTGTCAGTGGGGTTATCATCTGTGAATAGGCTGATGAATCACAGCCACAGTGCAGAATTACAAAACACTTTCATGAATGGAAATAGAACAAATGCATTATATAATAAAGTTTTAACAAAAGTAAATAATTACATAATTAGTTACAGCATTTGGCAATTTACCAACACTAAATTTACCTCTTTGGAGGGGGAAGCGGGAGAGGTGAAAATTGTCATCCAATAGGACCATACAAACATAACAAAGAACAGATGAAATGCCACAAGGTAAACAACGGCCTTTCCTGGTAAATAAAAACAAATAACATGTCATTGAATCCTGGTGAAAACAGGAAAAAGCATTACATTAAAACAATATTTAGGGGCAGAGGTTAATCTAATAAAAAATAATTAAAACATACTAAAGACATCAAGTATATAAGTCCTGTATCTACACGATGTAACATTACAGATATGAAGGAGCGAGCATTCTGTATCTAAGGGTTAACATCCTGGTTTATAGGTACTATAAGATTAGTATGAGATGAGATTTTATTTTATTGAGTTGATGAAGATTTAAGTTGAAACACTTCTTTCACAGGTTGCATTTTCCTAAAAGTTAGACTTTAAATGACTTAAAGCAGATTCTATTACTATGAATATTAAATCCAATGAAATATGAACTGAAAATAAATAAAGGAAGTCCCTATCACAGCAAATAATCAGTACATTAGAAAACTCAATTCCTGGATTGTTCAGAAAAGGAATCATAAATTTCACTCTCCTTTCAACAAAAGGTAACTGATATTGTAACGAACCTAGTTATGAATAACTGGAAAGGAGCAAAGGAAAGGTCAAATATTATAGGCATGCCAATTGTGCACCTTTGCCAGGAAGCTTCAGTTAACACTCTCCAGGAAGCCACCGGTCCACTCCCCGAAGACTGCTGGGGAAGGGACTGGATAGGGGAAGAACAGATGCATGCCCAGGCAAGTCTGGGCGACACAGGGAAGGTACTTGCCTGTCAGTCACACCTGGAAACAGGTCATTGGCCAGAGTAGGCATGGCCACTGCAAGTGAGGAAACATTTGAGATATTTAATCTCCTAAACAAAGGAGTTCCCTCACTCTCTTGTGCTTTTGCTCTCTTGCTCTTTTTCTTCCCCTCTGATTTTTATTAACTTATTTTTGTTACAGATGTTTCTCCTTTTCTCCCCTTAGACTCCCTCCTCCCCATCCTTCCCCAACCACCACCCCCCTAGCATTGTTGTCTATGTCCACTGGTTATGCATACAAGTTCTTTGGTTCATCTCATCCATCCCCCTGCCCCTCTACTCTGAGGTTTGCCAGTCTGAACCATAATCCTTTCTATGTCTCTGGGTCTATTTCGTTCATCAGCCCACCTTATTCTTATATTCCACAAATAAATGAGATCATGTGGTAGTTGTCTTTCTCTGACTGGCTTATTTAGCTTAGCATAATACTCTCAAGGTCCTTCTATGTTATCTCAAAGGATAAGAGATCTTTCTTTCTTACAGCTACATAGTATTCCATTGTATATATGTACCACTGCTTTTTTCTCCACTCATCTACTGATGGACACTTGGGCTGTTTCCAGATCTTAGCAGTTGTAAATAGTGCTGCTATGAACATGGGGGTACATATATTCTTTCTGATTGGTGTTTCAGGCTTCTTAGGATATAGTCCTAGAAGTGGGATCGCTGGGTCAAATGGCAGTTCAATTTTTAATTTTTTGAGGAAACACCATAGTGTTTTCCATAGTGGCTGCACAGTCTGCATTCCCACCAGCAGTGTACTAGAGTCCCCTTTTCTCCACACCCGCCCCAACACTTGTCTGATGATTTGTTGATGGCAGCCATTCTGGCAGGTGTGAAGTGAGACCTCATCGTTGTTTTAAGTTGTATCTCTCTGATGATTAATGATGTTGAGCATTTATTTATATGTCTCTTGGTCATTTGTAAGTCCTGTTCTCTTGCTCTCTTGACTCCTGGCTTGCGGGGCTCTCAGGCTCCTGCATTTGCCCAGACGACTCACGGCTATGTGGACCCCACACAATGGACTAATGGACTGCAACTAGCTTGATGCTGTACTGGACTCAGTTCCAACATAGAATGGAAATTCTGGACACTGGCTTTGCTTCTAGCTCTACCAAATCCCCAGCTGCACATCTTCCAGAACTGGATTAAGGGAAATGGGACTTAGCAAACATAGGGATGTAATTCCATGAAAATAAAGCTTTGTACCACATCTTATCCTCCCGTGGTGGCCTCCAGAAATGCTTATTTCGGTGGTACCCCAAGAACCCCACTCATCCCACTAGCAATGGAGAAAGATTATCCACACATTTCTCTGATAACAACCAAAAATTTTTAGCCACTTTGAATTTCTGCCATAACTGTTTCCCAAGTGGATTAGTGTAAGACTCCAACATCTTTATCTCCAAATATTAGCTCACTGATATAACTTAAAGCTTTCTGTTGGATTCTGTAGTTTTTCTATTTGGAGGAAGTGAGACTGGTTTCTACAAGAAGCAAGAGCTATCAACCAGGTCTTAAATTCTGAGTTTGAAACTCAACACCACAAACCCACTAAAAAACACAAAGCACAGACAAGGATAAAAGTTTGAAATTCTACTCATTCTGAAGTTCAGATCAAATACCCCTTCTTCCACAAAAGCCTTCTCCATTACCTTCAGAAATGATTACCCCCTAATACTCTACGCCCCGAATAATTTGCTCAGGCTTCAATTAAACCACTTAACTTGATTTATTAAAGTTAATTGCTTAACAGTGATGAGCTAATAAATACAAAACACTTAGGACAATGCGTGGCACATAGTAAATCCTCAATAAATATGGGCTATTATTACTATCCAGGCATCTTCATTTATTTTCAAAAGCTGGTTCTTTTTGTACATTTCCCATGTCAGTTCCCAAGGTGAAGGACTGATAAAAGTTTTCACTGATCTGCAGTGAAATGAGAAACATTATGAACAACGTTTTTATAATGCTAACATATTCAGTTCAAAACACTGCTCTTCCTTTGGTCTTAGGTTATTTTTCCTTGTTTTTGGTTTGAAAAATGGTTCTTTTTAAATAAAATAGCAATAAAAAATTGACAACTGCTTTGACCCCAACATTTTGTTTTACAATTATCCTGGTCCACACCTGGACCAAGAGACAGGAAGAAAGCACACAGGAAGCCAGGGCTCAATGACTCCATCACACAGCTAATCAGTAAAATAAATTCCAGCTCCTAAAATCTCTTTCAAAGTAAACTCCTCATTTTCACTGCCAGTGCAACAGTTCACAATTATTGCTTGTCTCACTTGGATTAATGCAAATGCCAGCTATTCTAGGCTCTCTTGCTTCCAGCACATCCCAGTGGGCAGTGTAATATGTGTTGCTCAGTCTCCCACCCCACCCCATCCTCTAGTAGTGAAATTCCTGGGAAGTAACTCCATCTACATGACTATTAAATGCATTCTAAAACTCTGGGACTTCCTAGTGTGGAACTATATCCGACTATAGTTATTGAAATCACCACCTCAGCCCACTGAAAGACTAAGAGAAGATATATGAGGTAGACCTTATTTGGATATAACCTTCACAACTGTCTGGTAAGGTATTCTTTTAGTTTACAAATGTAAAAACAGGCTCAGGGAATTTAATATCTTACCCAATTCACTTAGCTGGTAAATGAGAAACCCAGAATTCAAACCCATATCTTCTAGATAAAAATCCAAGGTTCTTTCACTATGTCATATCTCAAGTTATATTTTCCTCCACTTCTTACACCATCATCTTAGTGTTAGCTTAGGTAGCTAGTTAAGTATTATCAAAAGAGAAGGAAGCAAAACTAGCTAAACCTGATTGAGTCTGTAAGCTACAGCTTCACAGACACCCCAGGGGACAGTCACAGCCTCCCCCAAAGGGGGGGTGTTAATTACCAAACAGGCAGGAAAGACTGGCTTTCCAATCTCCTCAGGGGAACAGCCCATGAATTCTGTCAGTTCTTTGCCTGGATGGGGGTCGGGGGTGGTTTAAACAGTAAAGGGGGAATTCCTCGGTTGAGGCATGTGAAGTAGAAGCTAAGAGGGAGCAGGGGTGCCCTTTCACTGTGACTGCAGGCATAGTGGGGGCAAAAACGGTGACCATAAATGGGAGGAGAAAAATATAGAAAAAGGAATGGATAGGGAAGGCACCAACGTAGCCCCAGAAAGATCCAAGAAGAGACTGGATATTGAAAGAAAGCTTACCCCTTCCCAAACCTAAGGAAATATAGTCAAAACCTAACAAAGGTCCTTCACCTGTCTCGTCAGCAGCACTGCGGGCTGAAAAGCACAGTGCCAATCGTGGGTGGGAAGGAACAGACATGTGCTGGATTCCTGGAGCTGCGATGCTAGCTAAAGGCATGGCAGCTTTGGGTCCTGGCCCCCTCCTGGGTTTGGTGGGGACAAATGCAAGCTTGCAGCACCAGAGGCTAGACTTCTTCCAAAGCAAGACCAAGCTGAGCCATCTGGTCAAGGATGAGGCAGTGTGGCAGCTCCTTAGAAAGGTGCAGGAGAGAATCATGGAGAATTGATCATAGTAAGGTGCTAGTCAGTTGTAAGAAATGTTGAATATCTTTGTTCTCTTAATTGTGACTGCTTTTTTCTGATTAAAGAAAGCCCATTCTGACCTGGCTGGGAGCTGTACAGCCCAGGAGTTTACCTCAGGAATGCTGTCCATTCTCCTCACCAGAGAACTGTCCCCCTCCCCACCATCATGAAAGACTAACAACCTTGGAGTCTTGAAGATGGTGCACTGGAGACAGCTCACAATCCCCAGCTCCCATTACTTCCCCACGCCTGTGATCTGTAACTGTTTTACCCATTGCTATTTCCTTTGCCTACTTCCCCAACCATTTTACCCACTGATGTTCCCTTCTGCCTCCTTCCCCATGTAATACTCAACATAAGCAACCTGCCCGGCTGGAGGGAGTGCAGAGCAGGTTTTTGCAGGATGACCCACTGCTCTCCCATACTGCTGGCTGGCAGTACTGGAGTAAATGCTCATACACAATTCAGCCTCGTCTCTCTACTTCATTGGCTCAAGTAGTGACGAGCAGCCTGCGGCCATTTGTTGTCTGGTTTCAGGGGCATTTATACCTGGCCCACCCTTCCATGAATCTTGCCATTATTGTTAAAATCCTATGCAGGAGTCCCAGAAATTCATTTCCTGCAACTTAACAAGAACCTATTTCAGACTGGTCTACACAGCTTACTTCAAAGCCAACATCTGATGCCAAGATAAATCCTATCTACAACCTCCTCTTATGTTCAAATTTGCTTTCTTTTCACTTCCACTAAAACTGATTGTGATCCTCACTGAAAATCCTAGTTTCTCAAAATCAGCATTTTGTATCATTTACACTTCCTCCAGGTTGAACCCCATGGTCTACCCAGTAGATTGAATATCATTCCTTTATTTGTTTTTCCTTTGGAAAAGCATTCTGGACCTCAGTCTCCTACTGTTACACCACTGTCATCTTCACCTATCTTACTTCATTTATGTATATGTTTGCCTGGCCTGATATTCAGTCAAGCTTGTCGATCCTTATCTATATACTATCTTATAGCCTTGAAATAAATGGTAACCTAGACTTACTTTAAACTTCTTGATCATTTAGTTACAACTAAGGTTAGAATATAAAACAATATACTCTAAAAATATTTTTAAAACATTTAACACATTTTTAGAATATTTCTGCTCTCCATAAGAACAGAAACAAAATGGCTTTTGCTTTAAAAAATTGTAACCCTGAGTTACAAAACAGGAAAAATAAATCTCAGCATAATGCCAGGAATATAGTAAGTACTTAACAGATTATTATTATCCTCATCAAATTACTGTAGGAGAGGGGCATGAGAACCATACAAATGAACTAAAGTCAAAGTTAAGCCAGGGGCCTGCTCCATGCTACCTGACATGGAGCTCAGCTGACCAGAGATGCCAGAAGATCATCTGGACAAAGATGTATTAAGCTACTCATCCATGCCTTATCATATCATAAAGGAAAAACACAAGGCCACAAATATACCTTGTAACAGTCAGAGTTAATCTCAACCTTTCCCACTTTCCCCATACCAACAATTTTCCACAGAAACTACAAACAGATATAAGCTCAACCTCTAGAGATGGTTGGGGTCTATCTTCCTTCTTCGGTGAAGAGAGTCCACTCTCTATGGAGTGGTTTTTCTTGCTTGTCCCCTCTGCTCAATAAAACCTTTTTCACTTTAATCTCTTGTGTGGTTCTAGTCTTGAATTCTTTCCTGCTTGAAGCCTAAAACCCTCTTGGCTCAGGGCTTGAGTCACTACTAGGGACTTGTCCCTCCTGTATCAAAATTATGATGTAGAGAATAATAGCAAATATAACTTCTAAATAAGTTTGAATATATGCTAAGAGAAATACATAAAGTAAATGTTAACTAAGCAAATTAAAACAAAGCTGAAAGAAAAAAATGAACCTATAAAACAAAAAGTCAGTTATCAACTATAACTGAATTAAAGTCAAACCAATAAGTAAACAAAAAAAAACGTCATCAAAACACTCTTTGGAAGGCATGGGGAAAAGAGCCCCAAGAAATAATGACACAAGTTAAAAGTTCTTTTGTAAGAACTTCAGAAATTCTCTGCTTTCTGTATATGCACATTCAACATATGGGAAACAGTTTTGATTTAAAGGAAGAAAACATGCCTACCAATATTGAGTCTATGTCTGTTCTGTTAGTGAGAAACCAGATGCAAAGGCAATCTGAGATTTACATAATTAATGCCTAATTATTTCCAGTAATAATAAATATTAATTTCTAACTGTTCAACTGTTCTAGAAATCCTCTGGATTTTTGAAATTTGATCTCAATAGACCTAAAATTTTATCTTAGTGAATTCTGAGCAAATATGTTTCCCTCTAGGTACTGTCTTTAGTCATTATAAAAACTTTAATTTTCTTTCAAAACGAACTAGTAATACAACTTACAATTTTACAATATGGCTACTTAGCTAAATGTCTGTGAGTAGTAAAATGCTACTTTTTAACAAATGCATAAACAAGAGAAAATAAAATCCCTTCCTCTACCCTATATTAACTATTTTAGGACTATAGTTAATATAGAACTATATTAACTATTACTAGAGAGTTCTGAAGAACATACAAGGAAGAAATACGTATTTAAATATATCAAAGAAGCTTGGGTACTAGGTGCCTTACAAAATAATTTATAAATAATGCAAATGAGAATATACTGAATGTATAGAAATAAACCCAGTATTACCTCTCATTTCAGTTAAACTTAAAAAAAAAACATATATATATATTGTCTTTTTGAAAATAAAAACACAAATAGTCATCACTAAATACAAAATACATGGGTTGCAATTATGATACCATAAGTAGCCTACTTAAATTGAGACTAAAAGTATCTTACCATTTTCTCCATTTTCAGAAAGAGTAACTAGAAGAGAAGAAAAAACAGTAAATAAATATACTTTAAACATTTTGTACATAAATTTTATCACAGGTTGATTATTCATCTTAATATCGCCTTCATAAAAATAAAGTTTAATTATAAGAATGTAAACACTAATGCAACTTCAGAATTGCACACTCAAAAAACCCTAAAAACATTACAATGCTAAAATTAAAATTCTTTTTTATCATTAACACTGCATTTTTTCCAGATCTTTGTTCATTTTAAGTGTATCCATATGTTTATAGTGTGACGTTTCTTTGGCTCTTTCCTTAATGCAACCTAGAGAATGAATAGGACTCTGGCACTCATAGTTACTTAATTAGTCAATGACATACCTCTACAGAGTTTTTCCTTAATTTCTTTGGCATCGTATTTTGTATCTCTTTGCTTTTACAATGAAAATCTTAGTTCCTAATTAATTTACTTACTTGGTTTATACTGAAATATACATAAAAGAGTTTAAAAACTGTATACTAGTTTAAGATTTCTTTACAGCTTTTAAATTTTATTTTGTGCAGGCTTTAAACTATATCCCACTAGTACTATGTTCAAAAATCACTTGAAATAATTATTTCCTGTGTGTAGCTATAGTATCTTTATATAAAACCTACTTTTATCTAACCTCCATTTGTCTAACCTTCCAATGTCTCCATTTATAAACCATTCCACGCCTTGCTCTTTTCATCACTACACATGAGTACATGGCCACAATCATGGCTTGTCTGTAAAACAATGCATAGTACTCCATTGTGTGTGGGGTGCCAGCAATATGATCGGGTCTCTATTAACAGACATTTGGGTTGTCTCCAATCTTCTGCTACAACAAAGTGGCAATGAATAATTTTATGCATGTGTTATTTGTGGAAGTTTATTTTCAGTGTAGATTCCTAATAGCAGGATTACCGTACCAAAGTAAATCTGTCCACTTATCCCTCAAATCCCTATTATAGGGGTTGAACCATTTTACAGTCCTAGAGCAATGCATGAGCTTGCCTGTTTCTCTACAATCTACCCAAAAAGTGTCTTCAAAACTTTTGGTACTGCAGGGTAAGTTTACTTTGCATTTCTCTTAGAAGTGAGAGTAAGCATCTTTTCATAAGTTTATGAACCATTTTCACTTTTTTTACTCTGAACTATCTGTTTATGTCACTTATCCATTTTTTTTAATTGGGCTTTCTACTCCTTGATTATAAGATCATCCACTCATGTTTTCTTAAAGTAACTGAATGTTTTAAAATTCAGGTTTGGTCCACTGTGAACTGGCAGATTCCAGATAAGCCTGAAAAATCACATGGTACTAGAAAGTAAGGAAGAAACAAATGATGGGAACATATCAAAAGGACAGAGGAACCAAATTGAAACAGATCCTACTGGCCAAATCTGGGATAATATGAGCAACAAATTAAATGATAAGATTACAATCCATAAAATAATAATCTATGAGAGCACGAGGATATAAACGAATAACTAAAAAGAAAAAATGGGAAGGAGGGAAACCTCTTCCTTACAGAATTCTAATATTAAATACAGAAGAAATCATTGAATTAGAAAAATCACCATTTGGCAACCAGCACAGTAATAATTCTCTCAAGTCTGGCTGGTGTGGCTCACTGGTTGAGCATCAACCCATGCACCAAGAGGTTGCAGGTTCGATTCCTGGTCAGGGCACATGCCCAGGTTGTAGGCCAAAACCGAATGGGGGGCATGCAGGAGGCAGCCAATTGATGTTCTCTCTCATTGATGTTGCCATCTCTCTCTCCCTTCCTCTCTCTAAAAATCAATATTAATAATAATAATAGCCCTGGCCCGTTTGGCTCAGCAGTTAGAGCACTGGACCGTGGACCAGAGTCTCGGGTTCAGTTCCCGCTAAGGGCACGTACCTCAGTTGCGGTTCGTCCCTAGCAACAGACTAAGACATTCTTATTCTTAGGAAATAACACTGAGGTATCTTTTTTTCCTTACCCGAGGACATTTTTTCATTTTTGTTCAGAGAGAGTGGGAGGGAGAGAGAGAGAAACATCGACGTGAAAGGAAC